GGGTTATGAAAACAGGTTAGTGATAACTGCTTAGGAAATCTTTGAGCTCATTGATTAGATTAGACTGGTTCCAATAAACCCCGGGTTAGAATTTCAAATGATCTATTGAATTAATTCAAACGTTTGAAATTGCGTTTCGAATAAATGTTCTGAATGAACACTTTGGTTGTGCGCTTCCATGAGAGTAGTTTGCGTTCGTTTTTAATTAAAAATAAAGCTTCTCGTAATTGATTTTGAGTGATTTTGAGTTAGATTATTGGTTGTATGACGTTTCGATTAACTCGCCCGCAGATTGGGAGTTTCAGGCCGGGCATCCCTGAAATAATTTCCGCTTTCGACCTCCGGTAAGGAGTGGCGCTTAAGTCGTTTGCAGGTTTGAAAAGAAACTGAGTTTTTCCGGTATTTCGGGGACTGAGCAATGTAACGCTTGGTCGTTCGTTCGTTGAGAAAAGTTACGCGTTACATTTTGCGTTACGTCATCGTAATTCATGGGTTTTCCCTGTTTTTTCCCCGGTAACTTAAAATTCCCGACATTTTCGCGGATTGCCAAGATTTTCCGGTTCACTGCATTTGATGTCTTATGAGATTTTTGATTAAGATTTTTTTTACCTCTTTATTATTGAGATTTATAGCCAGTTGGCTATTTCATTTCATATTTGAGTAAATGTTAAACTTTAACTTTCACATTTGATCTCTTAAAAGTGATCGTCATGTCTTGAAATCGTTTGTGGTTTTTTTACCCAAAATATCATATAGTTTTTACGCAATTAGAAACCAGCTTTCTTATAAAAATGGAAATTAATCATTCTGTACTGGTTAGCATTTTTCAAAATAAGTTGATATTAGTAATTGAAAACTGCATATAACTGGATAAATTCTCAAAGAACTGGAAAATATCAAACAGTGTTCAAGATACTTGCGGACCTGGTTATTTATGGATGCCTGTTCTGTAATATAAAAATGAAATATAATATCAAACAGGTAACGGCGTTCGGAGTAGTGACATTTGGGGTAGTGTCATAGAATCTGAAAAGTTACCTACCAATAACTCTCCTGAAGATATTTTGAGATTCCAGGTAGAGGTGTGCACCGCTGCACCACGCCGACGCTGCCAGTACTTTTCGGGCCACGCCGCCGTCGACACAATTTAATCGGCGCTTCGATTGTTCAGAAATCGTCACGCGACCGGTTTACGTTGTGTGTATACAGCTCTTAGGATGGCGTATCCTTTTTTCATACCTTACATACATCAATCACTTTTGACGAATCGTCTCTTCGACTCACTGTCCCATCTCAAGGAGAACAGGTCTGGCAATGTGAATTTATCGCAATTTCAGGATTTTTCAGGAAACTCCCAACATTTAACTAGACAACCTGCTACTAATTCAAGGTGTCATCCAATCAAGCTTCAAAATTTCATTTTTTTTACTCAAAATTTAAAATCATTCCTCTATATCTGTAAAATGCGGGCGAGGCTCAAAGAGTTGTGAACTACTCGAAATTGCTGTGTTTTCATTAAAATACTACTCTTATTGAACTAAAATATCGTACCATACGTATAATTGTTCCGTTTATGGGGTAATTATAGATATATTTGATGTTTCTGTTTGATAGGCCCAGAATGGGTGATTAGGCCGAAGTTGTCATCTCCCCTATTATTATAATATACTATACCAAATTCGTACTATCCAGCCAACAACTACTCTTCTTGTCTTCCCTGTGTTGATGTTGTGATGTTGTAGATGGCATGTTTTTTTACTTGAAATATTTTCAGGTTTACCAATACAAGGAAGCCGCAGAAAAAGTAAAGGAAATCGAGTTATCGTTCTATGAGCGCTTCTTATTTGTCTTTAGCCTCATCATTTTCTGTAGCATAGATAGAGCGGAGGATAAAGCACAGGTCTGACAAACGTAGGGTTCATGGTTCGAGTCGAATCTGTCTTTTTAAATTTGTTTGACATGATGTATTCCTTCCAACGATAAAGTTTATAACACTAATACACTATCATTATCTAACGAAACTAGCTAGGGTAGAGAACTACTTCGGCCTAATCGCCCATTTTGGGCCTATTGAGCAGAAAACATCAAATAAACCCATGATTTCAGAGTTAACAAGTCAATTATGCGTTTGGTACGATACTTTAGTTAATAAGCTACCAAACGAAGTCAATGAGAACGCGTGATATGAAGGTTTGCACCCATTATTCCCAAAAAACAAAAGAAGCGCTCCGACCGAATCAATTTTTATCTTCATCCGATAGGCCGAGGTGAAGTGTGGGTTGTGCTTAATAGGCCGGAAATGGGGTAGTTAACCCTACATAAAACATGTACGAATCTATTTTGTTGTAGAAAACAACGAATGAATTCGTAGAACAAAAGAGTGATTTCGCTGTTAAATGAAATTTTATTTTTGGTGTATAAAGCTTCCGAAAAGACCGCAGAACTTTCGAGAAGCCTATAGAACGTTTGAGAAGTTTGTAGCACTCTATAGAACTTTCATGTTCGCCATTATTGTGATGATGGCTTTGAGGTTTTTTTTTTAAACGCAGTCAGTAAGAACTCGTCATATGAATGTTTATACTAATTATTCTCGCCGGCGCCGGTGGTGTAGTGGTAAGCGCGACTGCTTTTTTTTTCTATGGTTTTGTTTTTTCCGTCGATCTTGTTTTCCGTGCTGAGCACCAATGCTACCAACGTGCCAGGGAGGCAGCTCCCACACCTGGACCGTACCGATCGACCCATGAACTCATGAACCGGGGACCAACGGCTTTACTTCCCATCCGAAGGAAGGCTTGATCAGAGATGTTATGCCTCAGAACATCCCGGCGGCGCCGACTGGGATTTAACCCAGGTCTGCTGGGGTGAGAGGTAATCACGCTTACCACTACACCACCGGGGCCGTTAGCGTGATTGCTTTCTAACACCCCGATGGGTCTGGGTTCAATCCCAGCCGAGATCGGGCATGGAAATTTACATGACTTTTTGGTAGTGTGCACTAATGAAGTGTTCCGGCGGAGACAAAACTGATCGAATAATCGGTCCGTCTGCCATATAAGCTTTCTCTATGTTTGTTGATTTACATTTACACGAACATGTAAATTTATAGGTTTTATCGTTCAAAATTCGATGTTTTTCGATAAGTTTTTACATCGATTGGAATAATACACTGCAAGAGAAAATTAATCGAATAAATGTGTTATTTAATGAGTTTTATCACGTTATTTTACTGTGTAATGTAAAATCAATTAAAACATAGTTTAAAACGATGTAATTTTAAACTGCACACTTAGAAATAACTAATTTTACACGTGACGGAATCCATCTTTGACATAAAAGATGAGACGTAAACAAACATGTCATGTAATATTAAGTGCTCCGAGACTGAAAAGTTCGGTGCTCGACAAAAAGTACGTTTGATTGAACTATATTTCGCGTCTGTTATGACTCAAAATTATGTCTAAATTGACGCTCGTATATGTCACTCTCAGAGCAGCTAAATTTACATGATTTTTTTCTAAGTGTGTGGCTTTGGTTAATATGCCATGTACAATTCCTTATTTTTTGCTGTGTACAGCTGAAGTGAGATTTTAACCCTTTCTTAGTGGCACTCACAATTTGTCAGAAGTCAGAACGACAGGTAGCTAGAGATTTATGAGATTCATTCTTCTTAAAAGCATGACCTATTCTTTGAAGTTTCTTGTTTTATTTATCCCACCATATACGGAGAAAAGAACGAGAACTCAATTGTAACATTTTATTGGTCCCTCGGCTCCGTAGAAGTTCGTTCAGGCATATTGTGACTTTCCGTAGCTCGAAAATGTCCCTGCTGCTCTGCAATCAATCAAGTGTTGTCCGTTATTCTTTGGTGTTAATTTCAAGAGCATAAATATTAGATCTCATAAAATATAAAGGTTGAACACGAATAAATCCGGACACGAAAATCTTTTTGGGGTTTAAAAATGCGTTTTAATTTTTTATATCGAGTTTTTCAAGTCATTTTGCATAATTAAAAAAGGCGAGAACCGAAATTGTTGATTTTTGGTTTTCAAAACCCTCAATCGTTGCCAATTTCGCACCATCCCTAAATCATGTTCGATTGAGCCCAAATTTTGCACAGGGTTTTTAATCGAGATAATAAACATTTTGCATATGTTTGGTCTAAGAAATTTGAGAGGCACTTTTTTTTCTCATACATTAATTGGCACCCTACTGAACATTGTTGCTGAACTCATCACTTGTACTTCTAGTAGATTCATACTGTGCACCATTATACACAGTAAATCATGTTCATTTAACTAACCAACATCTCCTTACCAGTCATTTATTGATCGTTCATAGCCTTTGAGATCTAAAGCTTAGTTTTCCCTTAGTCAAGAGGAGTTAAACTGCATTATAATTAAGTGAATAAATTACCTCACCTCATCGACAACGACGCCGACGACAACGAAGACGTTATGAACAATGAAAAATCAAGCGGTGGGGATTATAAAACGATATACTTTATCGTACTTTATAGAAGGCTATGGAATGATGATTCCCCAACGCTAGACAGCGGATGAACTCACCTAGCAGTACGCCCGCCAAGGTTCATTAGCTACTTATCTAAATTCAGTTACTATGCTACGCACATTTAAACATTGTACCAGCGACGAGGTTCATTGTAGAGTAAAAGAAAAGATATCGCTTTCCCCATCGTCGTCGTCCAACTGAACTTGGCCGAGCGATAAGATTCTGTTGCCTCATTGAAAAGATTAAACTTAATTACAGTGCGCGCATTCGGGAAGGGGGTTGAGAAAGATAGAGCTGCTCCTCTCATTCGCCAGAAGCGTCAGTGTTCCATTGCATCACGACCAGCGGCGACGATACAATAACGATGGTGAAGAATTGCATTCGAAATTGAGGTGACTTTTTATCAGTTTGACACTTTTGTTCGAAGGAAACGGGTCGTTGTCATTGTCACCATCAGGTCCAATTTCCAACAGGAAACGTAGAATAGCAATAGCAGAAGAACAGCTTCCGGGGCTGACTTTCTCTTCTGTTACCAATCCCCGTGGGAATTAATTAAATTCCGCCAAACACAATCAAAACAATTGCACCCGTCCGCGGGATAGAGTGTGAAAAACAAACAAGTACCTACCTCTTAAGCGCGGGTGGAATCCCAGCCACCGGAACCCGCGGGAGGAAATTGAAGAAGAAAACACTGTGGCACCGGCAAGTGCACCGGCTGACGAAAACGGCATGCACAATGCAGGAATGGTTGAAAATCTCGCTGATGCTGTGTACGTTTGGCTTCTTCCGGGAGATGCGTCCCTCGGAACCGTTCGTTACCGAGTTTCTGTCGGGCGAGTGGCGTGACATTGAACCGGAGCAGCTGAACCGCGAGGTGTACCCCATCGGCACGTACAGCCATTTGGCGCTGTTGATTGTGGTGTTTCTCGTGACGGATATTTTGCGGTGAGTGTTTTGATTTGGGAATGCCCCGTTGCTGTCCGGGCAGTGTGTACGTATTCAATTGTGCGAGAGTGGCTTTGGTTGCAGCAGTGTACTTGAATTTCGAGAATCATACATGCAGACACTCAGGCAATCGGTCATTTCATACGAAATCGAATAATTTCCTTCAGTTAGTGCTAATTTCAATAGGGCCGTAACAAATCACAAGTTTTTCTTTTGTCACTCGATGCTTGCATCAGTGCTGCAAAATCTCGACAATACACGTTGATATTGACAATTCTGCATAAGTCACTCATTTGAGCTAACAGTCATCGTCAAGGCAAACCATGTCAATTGTCAATGACAATGCTGTCAGTGACGAACATGTGTAGATTTTTGTATAAACTTAATTTGTAATGAAATTAATTGTAACAGATATGGATCTGTTAAAGTGAACAAACATCTACGTCATAAACTGCTTGGATAACAATACTGTGCCACAGAATGCACGATATTACATTTTTTGTTACTAGGTGAATCTCTGTCATTGACGAAAAAATGAATGAGATTTTGACGAAAGTTTTTTTGAGAATCAAGTCGGTCCGTGACTATGTGAAAAACAATGTTGTCAATATCGTGCAAAAGTCTGTCAATGACAATTGCAAATCTGAGCACTGACTCGCACTCGTCAAAATAAAATAATAAAAAATAAACCAAAAAAAAATTATAACATTCAAAACTCGTTTAACGTCACATCCAAACCGTATATTTCAACCGTTTATATTACTTCTTAGCCTTCGTTTTAGCCTTATACTTCTTTGAAGCCATGATTTTTGACACTAATGCATAAAAGGAACCGCACATGTAGACTATATTATGTGTAATACTCGGGTTATCAATAAGATTTTTCGCTCATAAGTATCCTTGTATCCTTTCAAGGAAGAACATTGGTTATATATTGTAGATGAATAAAGCGACTGATTTTCGGGATTTGATTTTCGGATAAACCATAAAGCGGAATACCACAAACGTAATAATTCAAGAAAACGTTCTGTTTTCGATAGTTCCTCCTTATACATGGCAGAACAGGAAACCCAAATTGATATGAAAATACCTACATTGTGAAATTAAACACAATTTTCTCAACAATTAAGCGTGGCTTCAAAAAATCTATCACGACATATTGTTGTTACCAGGTGAATCTTTGTCAATGTTGAAAAAATCAATGAGTTTTTTTTTCCTTGATTTACATAGTTGAAGATGCTAATTTCGAATAACAGACTGAAGTGGTAATTTTTATACGATAGATAAGCAGGAGATGAAAGAATAGAATTGATAGTTCCGTTTAGAGTACGGCAGTGTGAAAATTGCATATAGAGAGTAGACAACGAGCTAGGACAACTTTTAAGGAAGGTACAAATCGGTTTTATCATCTCTCTTTACCAAATTCCCCCTTTGGAGAGAGATGGTGAGAGGTGTCCCTCCTAGTGGTGGTGGCTGTCTACTCTCTATATGCAATTTTCACACTGCCGTACTCTAAACGGAACTATCAATTCTATACTTTCATCTCCTCCTCATCTATCGTATAAAAATTACCACTTCAGTCTGGTATTCGAAATTAGCATCTTCAACTATGTAAATCGTTGACTTCACGCAGAAGTAATAACTGAACGTATAGTCAAAGTTCTTTGATTTGTTTTCCGTCGATCTTGTTTTCCGTGCTGAGCACCAATGCAACCGACGTCAGGGAGGCAGCTCCCATACATGGACCCTACCTATCGACCCATCAACTCATGAACCGGAGACCAACGGCTTTACTTCCCTTTCGAAGGAAGATGTGATCAGAAATGTTATGCCTACGATTACCATAACACCACCGGCGCCGCTAATCAATATGTTCCTGACGAAGCTTTATGTGAGACCTAATTTTTCCAGTGACAATGTCAAAAATTATTTTGTCAATATCACGTGAAAACTTTAATGACATTTCACAGTACTGTAACGGACAATAGCCGGCGCCGGTGGTGTAGTGGTCTCGCCCCAATGGGCCTGGGTAGTTTGCGGAACAGAGACCGACGTTAAATAAAGGAAAGAAGAAGAAGAAGAAGAAGTAACGGACAATAATTGGAACATGGAATAAATTAACGTTGTATGGGACCATAGTATCATTCATTTGACGCTTGTTGCGTTCAATTTGGTACATTGGTTGCTGAGAAACGCACACGTACAAACATAGACATAAGACTGGCCCACAAAAATAAAAGATCAAATTTTCCACGGGCCAACCCCTATATTTGTTTCTTTAGATGAGAAAACCATTATCCGAAAGTTTCACCTCATTTGGTTCTGAGATGATCTGGTGTTTTAGTTTGAATTTTTGTATGGGGAATTTGAATAAAATACATGAAAAAATTACACTCCTACACTCTATCGACCACAAAAAAGTTTCCTATTTATCGATTTGATTCAAAATTTTCATGCTGAAGATTGCATCCAGTTAGTTTTATTGAGATATTCGTTTTTGAATGTAGGGGTAATGGATGTAATGTCGGCCTAAGTGCCCCTAATTTGGGCCCATACATAAATTCAGCAATCGACTAAATTTTGAATAGCGACCAAAAATATCATATGTTCATCTAGATAAAATTGATAAATAGCAGGTTTTTAGCGATGGGCCCAATCTTAGATCCATAGGCCAACATTAGAGACATTTCCCCTATATAGATATGGCCTATGGATCTAAGATTGGGCCCATCACTAAAAACCTGCTATTTATCAACTTTATCTAGATGAATGTGTCGTCATTGGGACGGTACTAATGGATATTTTTGGTAGCTATTGAAAATTTAGCCGATTGCTGAATTTGTGTATGGACCCAAATTAGGGGCATTTAGGCCGATACATTTATTCCAGTGATTTTACAACTTCACGATCCCGTCCGAAAAGTAACTTTCCTGAAGGTCTGCAAAATACTCCTCCGCGGCGTCGATGATTTCCTCACGTGAGCTGCATTTTTTATTGATGAGTTATTATTTGAGGTTTGCGAAGAGAAAATAGCACCGGTTGGAAACTAACGATTTAAAATTGACTCACTACTTGACCAGCCTATTGGTCCCAAGCAAATCCATTAACGTACCCCATTCTAGTCAAAATTGTATGTTTGTTTTGATTCGCTTTGAAAGTTTGACAGATAAAATGAGGGGCTCGTGGATTTTCCTATGTTTCGAGGGGTGCATCGATTTGCTTGAGACCGAAGAGAGTACCAGAGCTGAGCCAAAAAGTTGAGCACGTTTCTTCGGGACCTTCTGGTTTTAGAGTCACCTCTATGATAATAGTCTGAGGGAGCCAAATCGGGTAAATACGGTGGATTCGGAAGCAATTGGAGCCGTAAATCATTGATTTTATCTGTGGTTGCGATGCTTTTGTGGGGCCGGCGCATTGTCTTGCAAAAACAAATTTGTTTTCGCTTCATGTGAGGCCGTTTTGCAGCGATTTCGGCCTTCAATCGCTCCAATAATGCACAGTAATACTCGCTGTTCATGGTTTTTTTCTTTTTTCGAGGTAGTCCACGAAGAGTATGCCATGACAATCCCAAAAAACCGACGCCATAACCTTTCCGACCCATCGATCCTCCCTCGGCCGCTTCGGAGTACTCGTGCCGGCTTCAGTCCATTGCCGGGCACTCATTCTGTTCTCTGGGGTGTAATAGTGGATCCAGGTTTCATCAACAGTTACCAATCGACGCCAAAAGTCCACCCGATTCCAAACACTCTTTCGAAGTGCTCTCGCATTCGTATTTTTGGTCAGGAGTGAGCTTGCGCCACACCCAGCGGCAGGATAACTTTTTCATATGCGGAATCTCGCCCAAAATATGGCGTGTGCGCTCAGTACTAATCTTTTCGGTATCTGCTAGCTCGCGCACCTTCACTTTCCGATCAGCCAACACCATTTCATGTATTTTTTTTTTTTTGACATTGTCCTCTGTAACCGCTGCGGACTTGATCGGTAGAGGAGTTGCGGCCACCACGAAACTCTCGAAACCATTATTTGAAGGTGTAACCTGACGGAGCATTAGTTCCACACCGCAACCACAAGAATAGTACCAAATCGCGTGGGGCGTCTTGATTGCGGTATCCAAACGCCTAAGCTCCTGCATCGATCCTGCTCCAGTTTGCACTTCTCTAGAGCAGCTGTGGGTCTAGAGCAGAATTGCAAACCACATCAGTTCGATTGGTACCGTGTTCTCTCGACTAGAACAAAACGACCTAGCTCTGGTATTTGGTGACTACAATCAGTCTGGGCTTTCATGGAACGTTCCTGCAAACGATCTTCCTAGCATTGATGTTCTTCGCTCGAACATGCCCGCATCCTGCTGTGCTCTCCTTGATGGTTTCAACCTGCATGGCTTAACGCAAATCAACTCGATACTGAATAGCAACTCTCGGCTGCTTGATCTCGTTCTGGCGAACGAAGCTGCAGGACTGGAATGTTCTATCCTAGAAGCCCCAGAGCCTATGATTGGCATCGACACCAATCATCCTGCGTTGGAAGTTTCCATCAACCTATCTGTTCCTGTTCGCTACGATAACCCCCCTGTTGATGTACATGAGCTCGACTTTCGTAGAGCAGATTTCGTCGCGCTGAGTCACTCGCTTGCCCAGGCGGATTGGCAGTTCCTTGACACGTGTTCATCTTTTGATCAAGTCGTCAACTACTTCACTGAGGTCGTTGGCCGGGCAATAACTGATTCTGTCCCATTGAGGAGACCCTCTCCCAAACCCGCATGGTCCAATACTCGACTACGGAATTGGAAGCGTCTGAGATCGAAGGCCCTCCGTAAATACTGCCGTACTCGAAACGATTATTTTAAACAGCGAGCAACGAATATCGCACATATAACCGTATTCTTTACAAGAGCTACACAAGGCGTGTGCAGGCTAATTTACGGCTTAATCCAAAGCAGTTCTGGTCATTCGTGAATACCAAACGAAACGCGTAGGGGCTACCAGTCGAAATTCACCTGG